TGAATATTCATGTTTATTACATTTAATTAATAAACGATTAATGTTTTACACAAAGATTACATTACTCTTACAAACATTATTCAACTAATCAAAAAATGTTTAACAAGTCTTATTTGTTTCTATAATATAAAGTTTCGGATTTAATGTCATTATCAAATATTTAAAAAAAAAAAGTAAAATTATCAATTTAAATATTTTGTTTATTAGAGTACTATCTACTTTATGGTAATTATTGTTTTTTTAATTCACAATGTATATATACAGAAAATATAAATAAATAAAATATAAACACAAGCGAAATACCAAATGATAATCAATAAGTAAATATAATAAATAAAAATAAAATAATAAAAATAAATAAATAAAATAAGAACAAAACTCAGACAAAGTTACACTACCTGTTAAATTAGTATTGTAAATTTAATTGTTTTATTTTTTTCTTTTTCACACTTCCTTTGGCTTTCTTTTACTTCAATAAAATATTTTTCATATCATTATTTTCTTTGATAACTGCCACATTATTTTCATTATTCTTCATGAAAATAGGATTCCCATAACTTACACACTTAGCCTCAGTACTATTATATTTAAACTATTATGTTTTACTGAACAAGGAGTTCTCAATTTTTGTACTACTGACCTACCATTCCTCTTTTGTTGACACAAATAATTAGGCCAGAGAATGGATTTTAGGGGTTTTGGGAAGAGGACTGCCCTCTTTGGGTTAGGTAACTAATAGTAGGTAAGTGAGTATTATCCTATTTCCCGGTACTGGCTAAGAATGCACTAAATCCATAATTACAGTTAAAAGTTACCATTATTGGTCAACAAACTTGCTCAGGTAGCTCCCGACCTAGGGTGAAGAATGAGTTTTGGAGTACAGTAAACTCAGATGTACATAGTTGCATAGATGGTTTTCTTTTACCTTAAAATTCAAATCGTAAAATATAATAAATAGAAAAAAAGACCTTTTTGATACTAATCAAAGTGGATTAATAGATTGAAAAACACTACATTTCCATACACATTTTATTAAGAAAATTGTTCAAGCAAATCCTTATTTTAAATCATTATTATATTATTTTGTGAAGTTATGTCTTTCATAATAAAACGTTTTTCTAATAATTAATTATGCCTTTATCTTAACTAACTATTAATTCACCTCGATCATATTATTCCAGACAATTAATGTTAATTTAATCAATTTCAAAAACATTATTATTAAAACTTTAATACAATTTTAAATTATTTTCAGTAATAATATATCAATACATAATATTCTTAAATTATTTTCATATATGACATAAGAACAATTAGTCATAGGCGTAATTTTTAAGCTAAAGTTGTGTTACTTAGCAAAAATAAATAAAATTAGACAACAAAATTTAGTTTAAAAACAAAAAAATAAAACTTTCATTTTAATAGTTACCAAATATGTCCCAAATAAAACTTGCACAAGTTTTACACTTGAATCTTTAAACAACCTAATTCAAAAAGGCCGTTTAGTCACATTTTTATAAATTCTTGATCTAATTTAATTTATTGAAGAGAAGCGATCTTTTATATCAGATTAAAAATTAATTTTTCTGGATGTTTCTTATGCGATTTCTCTAATAAAGTAAAATTTTCACTAGTCTTCATATTTCTCTGCCGTATTTATGGATAAAAATAATATTTACTCGCTTGTGGTTGACAAATACAATAATAAGAAAAAGCAATACAACAATGACCTCAAACCTAACAATACTTTTCATTCAGAGAAAATATATCCAGATAAACTTTTGCTTTTATTTAGATTTAAGCAAAAAATATTAAATAAATGAAAATTTGTATATGACATTGTTATAATTTTCGAGTGCGACTACAAATTTCAAAATTTTGTTTGATATCTACGAACACCAAATTGTATCAAAAGAATCGGGAACAAATTGTGAAAGAAGGGGCTTTATTAATTAAGACGCTTTATTAATTAAGATACAAAAATTAGTTTGATTGACATAGCATAATGGTATTTTATAGATTTTTTTTTTATTACATATTTTAAAAGATATTTTTCGTAAAGAGCGGTTCACAGTTATGTTACGGATCATTAAAATGATCCATCAAGCAATCTGGATTGAACAGGTCTGCTTTGTACGCAACATTGTAAACAACAAAATATATTTGAGCGAATTAAAAGATATTTTTGTAGTAAGAAACGTTGGTAGAAAGTTACTGTTAGTTATTGTACCAACGATTTGGCTGAAGTTTTAAGGATTCATCATAGCTAAGAAAAGACAAGATAACATCGTTATTATAATTGGAAAGGAAAAGAAAATTGATAAAAAATATGAATATACAAATTATATGAAAAATAGAACTTTAACTCCTAAAATGTTTAATTCACATCTTTATATTTATTTTTAGGATATAACGTAATATTGTTCATATTATTTGTACACTTTTATTTTTTTTTCTCTAAGTTTTCTTTCTCTTTATTATTTTGATAATGTTGTTACCTTGTCTTTGCTTAGCCGAGATGAAGGCCTGAAACTTAGGCAGCAACTTCGCTTGTGCACTTTACTGACTGAAACTTGCAACCAACTCTTATTAGCAGTATCAACAGTCAACCTTTCCTAGTTATTTAATTGTACTTTTGATAGTAACAGATATGGATAGTTTGCATTGATGTAAACCAATACGTAGACAGAGTTAAAAATTCATAAATCTATGATATCAGTTTTAAATGATACCTGATATAAAAAATATTTAAATAAAAATGATCCCGCCATATCGAAGACCTTTTTTATACCTATTGAGCAGACACAAACTGACGTCGCCAGCCTGCCCCAAACATAAAATATTAAGCCGATGGACACCGCTATTAAATGCCTACTGGCTATCAGTGAACGTGGGAACGGGATGATCCATCCTTGTGAAATATGGATGGCACGCCATACGGTGGCATATGGCATCTAATTGGCCCTTTCACCTGTGCTCTTCGGGCCCATCGCCCGGAACTATCGATGTCATCAGTCGATAGCCGGGGTGATTCCGGGCTAAGCGGATTGTACGTTCGATGACCATCCTACCTTGGCGTACAGGTGTCGCTCTGGTTATTAATAACTCATAAAGCAGCTGATATAAATAAACCACTACCAATAAGGAACGGATCTGTGAATAAGGACTGAAATAATGTATCATTTATTCAAGATGATACAATATTTATACAAGCATTCAGAAACATATTTTTGTTTCTTATGAAGATTGCCTTTCAGAAACAAAAGTTATTTTTTCCACGTTACACAATAAAAAACACGTTTTTATTTAATTATAAATTTAGTTAAAATATACTTATCGATTTATAAGTAATAAGTAAAATAAATTAAAATAGTAGAATAAATTTATCGATATAAATTTTATTTTTCTTACTTCAGGAGACTTATTCAGAGAACATTCGTTTCAAAAATAATATATAAATAATAAAATAAGTGTATAATAGATAGATAGATAGAAAATTAAAAACAAAAAAAAACCTGTACCACTACAACCCAAGGTCTTGGGTTCAGTACTATTTAGGGAAAGCAATGTTTCTTGGTCTACGGTTGTGCAAGGTGGTGATTTGACCGAGATCACGCTCAACTGCTAGGTTTTTCCCCTTAATAAGTTACTTTAATTAAGGGTACCCGCTTTATAGAGGCTGGGTGTGCCCCAGGTGGGCCTACCTACCCAGGGTCGCCTCACGGCAGACGAAACAGAATAAATAATTTTACTGCCATGAGCCGGGGTTCGAACTTGGAACCTTTAGCATTGGAAGCTCAGTACCCTACCACTGAGCTACCTCCCTTAGATAGATAGAAAATAAACTTTATTCTGGGACTTTAGAATAACAAAATTGTAAAAAAGAGTAGAATACAACTGGCCTAAAATTTTGAAACTATAAATAAAATTGATAAAATAAACTAAACAGTAAAGAAAATCTTAGGTGAACAAGCTATATACCATACAGATAAAACTATGAATAAAACAATTAAAACTATGAACAAAACTATATATAAGGGTTAAACAACATATACATTCACTTTGAGGAATGAACAACGAAAAAGAGATAGAATAAGTCCATTTCATAAAAAAAACTTTACTTGTATATATATATATATATATAAAAAGTTATAATTGAATAAAAAAAAAAATAAATAAATAGATGTTTTGAAATTCCTACGTCGAAAATAGGAAATGCATGTACTATCTCTTACAAAGTATTATTGTATGATTATAGGATTGCTACACAATACATATATAGTGTTAATAGTTATCTGGTATCTGTTTTTGGAACAGGAATTGGAACAGTAGGTTTTTGAATGTGGATAGGGAGGGAGCATGGCGAATTTTGATCGGGAGGGAATTCCAAAAGTTGACAGAGCGGGCATAAAGGAGTTTTGGAATGAGGCAGATCTATGAGAAGGGATGTATAGGTCAGAAGGTCGAGATCTTGGATAATGATAATGTAATCTATTTATAAATAAATCAACACACCAAAAATAATTTTATGTGAAACGTCTCAATGTCGTTTTAACTTATTCGACTTTAATAAGGCAACTGGATGGTGATAATACTTTTTTTAAATTTATGTAATAAAATAACATTCTGTCACATGGAGAATAATTATAGAGAGGTAAGATTACATTCACACTGTATATACAGAAAAAATAAAATAAACAGAAGCAAAATAACAACTAAATAATAATTAAAACGTATATACAAAAAATAAAGGTAAGTAAATTAAAAAAAAAAAACATTATTTAAACTCAGGCCAGGGATCTTCAAGTCATTCTTTGCCCTGCGAATATAGTAGAAAAAGCAGGACAATAATACTAAATTAGGAAAAAATAAATTGTTTTATTTTATTTTTTAATACAATTTTTTTACCCAACTTTTCTGGACTAATCAGTGAGAATTGTATGACATTAAAATAATTTTTCCCATAGTGCAATTAAAGTGGGGGAAGAGTTATATCCCAGATGACAGAAAACCTCTCGATTAACCGGTCTGTGAGAACTATCCCATATGACGGCAGATGGGTCGGACACGAAACACTACAACACTGCATCACAGGTAACCATAGCGCACCGAATCTCTACTAATGGCTGCATCTGGTGTCCGTGTTACCGAAGCCGTGGTCCGAGTTCCCATGTTCGAGCACTCGGTGCTTCCGAGGCTAATGGAAAATTAATTAAAAAAAAAAAACATTAAACGAAGAAAATATGTCCAAAACACTTGGTCTAGATTCATTAATGGAGAATGAATCGTGTTCATTAATGGAGAATGAAATAAGAGGTTATTGTCCTTTTTTATACAATAATAGTTGATAGTGAATAATGAATAGCTTTATCCCAACCTAAAACTTTTTAATAACTTGCATAGGATACAAACTAAATTAATTCCGTTATGGCTTCTGCCTTGTAACTCTTGCTTTATATTAACATAATTAACAAACCCCTCCAGATTATACAAATACAACACAACTATTTATTCCTCAATCATCATAATTGGACCAGGATTGAAGTAAGATTTATCATATGGAATAATGATATGATTTTATCGCTAAAACAAAACTTAATCGACAAACCAACCTCAGCGGTATAAAAAAGCACAAAGGCCATACGAATACTTCATTAGGCTAAAAGAGATCGAAATCAAGAAGAGCATATTCCACCTCCATCCACAACGTCTGATCATATCTTGGTCCTGAAAGAAGGGTAGCTTATCAGTGGATGGATATGACAGTGGTTCGTTATGAGCTGGAGGTATTTAATCAACGACCGACAATAGGCCGTTGTAGTGAACCCATGCATTATATATAATTTTTTTTCTATTTTGCATAGTGACCCCTATTCGTATAATATATGTGTGTATGTGCAAACAACATTTTTAATTATACTATTGTTTTGAACAGGTTAAAAATAAAAAAAAATAAAAAATCACTTAAGTAATCCGAAAAAATAATAATTAAAAGTTAGTAAATATTGTGTACAAATAAACATTTATTTAAATTAAAATAAATGAATTCACTTATCGAACAATTATCAACATCTACATATTTAATTATATTGAAATAAGCGAGTGTAGTTTTAAAATAAAGAGGGTTTATAAATAAGTTTATTTGTAAATAATTCCATCACTTATTGTTAGTTAAACGTTATATTATAATTATAATTAGCACTATTAACGTATATAAAGATATTATATGCAATTACTAATTTAACTAAACAAAAATAATATAAAGAGTAAATTAAAATTAAATTTCGGGCCCATCACGTTTTAGTACATAAATTTCTTTCTTGATATTTTGCTTCTTCCACATTGCTTCATCCTGTCCTTCTGGCAACCCTCTTTTCTATAACCTTCTTTATTTTTTATTCCAATCCTTTGGACCGAGCTTTATAGTTTGAGGAGACTATAATGATAAACATCAACGATAGGATTGCCAAACATCCAACACACACGGTATTATCCATTCTCGTATTTCATCTTGCAATAGTTATTCTATCCCTCCACCCATGAATCCACTTATTGACCAATACCCATTTAAAACGTACGGAATATATTTATCACATCTCAGATTCCCTCTTTTCATGCCAAAATCAAATCTCTGATGTACCTTACATCAGGTTATAATCCAGTTCTATTAAAACATTCAAATCTCGCTCTTAAACCCTCTCCATCAACATTCATTAATTCAGTATACTGCGAAAAATTTTGGAATTATTTAGAAAACCAACTGGACTTAAAAATTTCATATTTATTTGTATATACATATATATATGTATATATATATATATATATTGGAAGCTTAGTGGTAGGGTACTAAGCTTCCAATGCTGAAGGTCTCAGATTCGAATCCCGGTTCATCTAAGAACAATTATTTATTTTGTTTCATTGGCCTTGGGGCAACTCATGAGTGGGGAAATCCTCCTGGGGGACACCCAGCCTTTATAAAGTGGGTATCCTTAATTAAATAACTGATTAAGGGGGAAAACGTAGTGGTTGAGCATGATCCTGGCCCGAACCCTTCCTTCCCTGCACAACCGTTGGCCTTGTAACAGTACTTTTCCTAAATGGTACTGAACCCAAGACCCTTGATGGGTTAAAGTGGTACAGGTTTTTTTTTATTTATTTTTAATTTCCTATCTATCTATTATACACTTATTTTATTACTTATATATTATTTTTGAAACGAACATTCTCTGAATAAGTCTCCTGAAGTAAGAAAAATAAAATTTATATCGATAAATTTATTCTACTATTTTAATTTATTTTACTTATTACTTATAAATCGATAAGTATATTTTAACTAAATTTGTAATTAAATAAAAACGTGTTTTGTGGAAAAAATAACTTTTATTTCTGAAAGGCAATCTTCATAAGAAAACGAAGATATGTTTCTGAATGCTTGTATAAATATTGTATTTCTTCACATCACTTGTTTCTTGAAGACTGTTTTATCACTAAAAATAATATTTATTTATTATTAGAATCATATGTTTATTATTATCATGCATACATATGATTCTAATAAAATAAATACTAATATTATTTTTAGCAATAAAACAGCTTTCTAGAAGCAAGTGATGTGAAGAAATTGCAAACGAGTTAATTTTTTTCCGCACGTGTTATTGCAAAAAAATAAAATAGTATAAACACCTAACATAGCATTAGATATTAAGCCGAGGTGTCGCTAATTGTTACCATAGGCACAAAGGTACAGTTATCCGACACGGGCAATAATTACATCTAATGGCAGATTATATTGCAATTGTCAATTACAAATACAATGTCACCTGCAAACACAAAGCGGTGGGAGGTACGCGGGACCATTCACCATTCCCCACATCCTACGGGGCAGGCTACCCAGTTATTAACCTACACTTCCTGTTCTTACAAACGTTTCCTATTACATTATAGGCCACAACGAACTGCCCGTAAGGTGTGCTATTATTACAGTACGAAGATTCGGGGAAGTCATATATGGGTATCTAGTTGGCAACTTCGAAGGAATCGAAACCGTTAATCGAATTATTGGGTGAATAAGTATTGTTTGTTTGTTTGGATGTCTAGGCGCAAAACATCCAGGTCATCAGCGATAAAAAAAATAAGGATAAAAATAATAAAAGGATTGATAAAATGAAATAAATAAATACAAAGAACATAATTAAATAAATAACTAAATAAATAAGTAACGAACTATAACTAATAACTAAATAACAAAACAACATAATCAAATAAAAGGATTGATAGAATGAAATACATAAATAAAAATAAAAATAGGCATTTATAGATAATAAGGTAGAATAAATAAATAAATAAACTTTAAACAAATAGAAATAAAATCAATAAATGAGTTGAAATTAATAACTAAATGAACTTTTAAAATAAAAAAATAAAATTAAATAAAGCAAATAAATAAATAGATTTAAAAAAATAAATAAATAAATCTGCAAAGGGTCATAATTTATAAACTTGTCATATAATTGTATTTTGTTTGTGAATAAGTGTATTTTGCAATGTATGGTAAACGTATAGATTATTAATGTCATTAAAAAGTAAAAACGTTTGCGAATTGTACCGAGTTTTTCATAGTTTCACAGTCTAGTTATTCTAAAGTGACCATATTCGTTAGTGAAGTTCAGAATAGAAGTTATTAATAATATAACAGTTAAAATTGATTTCATTAATGATAAATAATCTTATTTAGGTTATTTATATTTAGGTGAGATTGTTATACAACTATTTTATTTAATCAATACAAGATTAAGTTTATACAAAAAAAAAAACCTTTTAATCTCACACATTTTTATTTTATAAATTAAAGGTCTTTTTAACAAAAATTATTTTTTTTTTTTTTTCAGAAACAAAACATGAGTTATAAAAACATTATTTACGGAATGTTTGAAAAGGCAGTAGTTGTTAAATTCCGTTAAATTTGTTAAATTTTCTTTCCGTTTCATCACTATTTTCATATTATTCTTACTAAGGTATAGTTTAATAATTCTTGTTAAAAAAAAAATGTTTTAATTATAAAATAAAAATGAGTGGATTAAATTTTTTTTTTAATAAACTTAATCATATAATGATTAAATATAATAATTTGTTTTATTAATGATTCACACTAATCAACAAATCAGATCACAGCAATTCATGTTAAATTAGAAAATAATAAGAAAAAAAAAATAGCTCTGTTAAAACCTAATTTATTCGAGCCACACAATTCCTCTCTAAATAATAATATAAGGCTTAGAAATACGTCCAAACTCATCCGAGTAAATCTTGATGCAACCCTCCCATCTTTGTTCGATATACCTCTCGTCCACTTACCACTTACCGCTACGATAACGTTTCAGGGATTTGTTTACTACTAAGCCCAACAATATTACAAGATCATTTTATTAGCAAAAAAACTAACATGTCACACAATTCAGCGTTGAGTAGCTGTCTTAATTTTCCGGTTTATTCGCTCTTTTTAGGTATAAATATTTTGGGAAATAATTTATCTTCCGAAATCCTAAGGCGTCATGTATGCGGAACCTTAGTATATGCGGAATTTTAGAAAGAACGATAATTATGTAAATTCCGATATTTAAGTTTCGGGACAGAAGGTGAGAGCTAAATAATTCTACTCTCTAAATCTCTCTAAAGTGTAAGAATTTTTAATCTGTAGCGATTTGAAATATGGGCATCAGAAATATCAAATTAAAAATCCATGAAAATTTTAATTTTTGTTTAAAACATGATAAAAAGAACAAATTTCTTAATAAATAAAAAAGTATACTTATTTTAATTCATTTTTTTTTATTTAGGTCGAATTCTGTACGACATACCCTGTAGAGTTTGCCAGGATCACTCTTCTGGAAAACACTATGGAATATTTGCCTGTGATGGGTAAGTGTCACTATTTATATTAGATATGAGAAAAATTTACTATTTTTAATTGTTAAAACGTCCATTGAAGGAATAAGTATCTATTTTATAGTATTTAAGGTCCCTGTGCTCAGGAGGTAAACGATACCTATTTAAATAATTTACTAACGAATAATAAATTGTAATACCCCATAGTTATGGAACATTGGCTCCCTAAGCAAATAACAAATACAAAAATGCGACTTAGTGTCCTTTACCTGCGGATTACAGATATAAAGAAAATAAATAATAGTGTTGTATTTATTTAGTACTATTTCACTAGACAATTTGTTTTCTATATAAATAAATAGTGCATTTATTTAAGCCCATTTCAACCAATTTACTAGATGGCTAAAGTCAGAGTGGTCTAATTTTCAAAAATTGGATGAAATATGCATAAAAAATGTTAGTGTTGTTTTTTTTTTGTTTCGTTTAGTATTTTACCATAAATAATTTTTTAACATAATTCACGTTTCCATTCAAATTATAATAATAAAAGCGCCAGTCATTTAGTTACTTTTTAAGATAAAATTTGTTCTCCCCTGTCGGGGGTGAGAAAATACATCCCCTAAATCCGCGAGTGGGACACACTAAAAAACAAACCTATACTTTTTATAAACAAAACAACTTGATTTAAAAAATGAGCATTTTCTATTATAATAAACTATTATTATAATTTTATAACTTCTATTATAATAAACTCACAAAAATAAAATTTATGACTTAAAAAACAAACAAAAAAAAATCACTATTTCTATTTTATATTATACAATTTTTTTATTTAACTATTTATTCAAGATATTTACAACTGTATTACAATATAAATACATCAAGTAAATGTGTACACAAGAACTCATACAATTTAATTATATAACTACATATTAGAACAGAATTTTCAGATTATACTAAATCTTTTTTTATTTAATTTCAGATGTGCTGGTTTCTTTAAGGTAAGTTCGCTTAAATAATTATTGATAATTAAAAATAAATATATAACTGTAGATAATTAACTGTAGATAATTAACACTTTCCATGTTAAATATTCATAAACTTTCTTCCGAAATATTAAAACCGAGGTAGTTAATTAAATGACACATTGGAGACATGGGACCGACCCCAAGCGGCGCCATGACAATATGAAGGGTGAACCTAGTGTCCCCCCCTGCAAATATATTCATTCATACTTCAGCCACTCACAAATATTAAGCCTATTATTAATTCAATGGGTGCTTTGTCACTTCGGCTTTGAATTCTTGGTTGATGGGGCTTGATTTTGTCCAATAATATTTCAACTATTTTTTCGGGAGGTTTTGTTTTTTAGGTGTATATTATGCCAGGCTATTTCACATAAATAAATATATTGATAACATCAAACACGACCAAGAAAAATAACTGTAAGTTAGGATGTATTTAGATATAAGGAAAAAAAATCAATATTCAACTCTAGCATATTTTTTTCCATTTTAGTATAATTGAAAACATAAAAATAATTGCAATTAACAAGTAATATCTTATATCCATAATATTAAATTCACAAAAATTGATACTTAACACGATTAATTCCAAATTAAAGAGTAAATTTAAGGAAGGACAAAAAAAAAGAAACACTAATTAATATAATTTAAAAAAAAAACTACTAAATGAATATAAAACGTTCAAATAATATAAAGATCAAGACCACGACGACCTGACATTTGCAAGACCAAGACCAGGATTGGTAAAAAAAATCGATGTTTTGAATGAAAATTAAGACAAAATAGTTACTAATACTTGACAATTTTAGTTACTATATTTTAAGAATTGGTATAACCAATATACTTTTGCATTTAACTCTTCTAATTTATCTTTCGGGCTTAGTTAGGTTTCTCCTATCTAAAAAAATACTGTAATATCTCTATCGTAATAAGCTAATAGATAACTGCAAGACTCTTGTGCAAAACCAAGACGAAGAGGAAGACGGAGCGCGTACCATGAAACGTAAATTTAGAGTATATTTAATATAGACTTTTTCTCTTAAGAATTACACAGGTTATGCAGTGAGTTTTTAATGAAGTTCAATCATTTTAAGTTTTTTTATGTGACATTAAAATAAAAATAACAAATTCAAGTTTTAATACAATATTATTTGTTATAAAATTATTGTGCTGAAAAAAGTTTCTTCTTACATCATTACTTATAATTGTTTCGAATTGTTAACTAATTTTCTATTTATATACAATAAATAAACATTTTTAAGTAGTCATGATATTAATTAAACTCTTCCAAAGCACTCCAATCCCAAATTGAATCATGGAAGACATTATTGTTTTATCAATCACACTCTGGGTTTGGTTGGCCATATATGCCAAATTAGCCTGAAAAAGTGGGTACCTGTTCTTTTAACGTGTAAGGCGAATAAAATATGGCGGTCAAGCGTCGATGCATGACCATTGGTTGTTGATACGAAGCAGTAACTTCCTCATCAAGTTATAATCATTTCAAACTTTGTAATTAACGATATATACCATTCAAGATTAAAATATATATTAAATGCTATTAGCTTATAAGTTTATTTATAAGCTCTAAAATATTAATGTACCATTGTGCTCAATACGACAAATCTTTTAACAGAACTCGGTACTTAAGCCCTTCACCACAGATGACACTCTTTGGAAGATTCTATCACCCGCTTCAAAATCAGCATAATTGCATCAGTGGCAAAGCGATCGCATGATGGTACTCCACCGATCCTCCCATGTGTCATTCCATTGAGAGGGTACTCCACAATCCTTCACTGCTCGAATACTCATTTAAATAATACAGTGATATTCGTCAGGAAAAAAAAAACATTATTAACCATATTCATTATAAATAATCAATTATCAAAAAGCTTATTTTTTAGAAATTACCAGCATATTTCAAAACAAACGTTTTATCTTTTCACTATCATTAAAAACAAACTGAGGTGTGTGGTTTCTACCACATGATAGAAGTGAAAATTCCAAGGCGAGATTATTAATATGAAATATAAATTATAAATAATAGCTCATTATAAAGAGGATGTAATACTGAATATTCCCTCGCTTACAGTATGAAAGTCCTATTTTCAATTTCTGAAATATTTTAATCCATATCATCAATAAAACTCGTTATAATTTGGTTTGCAACACTATTTCTCCCATTTTGCCTCTCTAAAACGGCGTCACGTTAAGATACAATTCTGGATAATAGCCTATTACAGTAGGAGATGAAATACTGAACAATTCCCTCGCTAACAATATACAAGTTGGATTTTTAGTTTTTGAGATATTTTAATCTATATACAAAAACACATCAATCAGACTTTACCTAAGCGTTACATATCGGAGATCTGACGGCTCAATCTAATTCACTCTACACAAAAAAAGTGCAAAACCCGCTTAAAAAAGTTTTCACTTTAGAAAAAGCAATAATCAACCTTATTGCTTGACATTTTTAAATTAAGATAAAAAAAAATTATTTAAATTAAAAACTTTTTGATTTAGGAGGGACAAAATTGAATATGATTTTTGCTCACATTATAAAACCAATCATGCTTCTGATATGGTTAATAAAATAAATTAGCTGTTAATGCAATGGAGTCGAGAAATTCGAAAAACATTATGGAATACTCAAAGAAGACTGTGATGTGTTAGTCTATGGTATTTTTAAAACTAAAATTATATTAATGTAGAGATGGTTGACTGTTGATATAACATGAGAAGGAGTTCGTTGGTGGGGGGGAGGGGTGAGGTCAAATAAAATTGTATTAAGTAATAATTCAAATGTATGAGGCTGAGGTGACTAAGTGCGAAGTAGCGTAGTTCTAAGAGTGGTTCAGTTCCAGGTTCGAACTGGTGTTCCCATCTGGTTTTGTTAATATTTATCTCATTTAACAAAAACAAATACAATAAGTTGAAGGCCATAAAGGAATTCTTATTCCAATACATTGTATATATTAATGAGTGGCATGACTTAAAATACATATATATATATTCCTTTCATGACAGAGATCCATCAGGCGAAATAGACAGTACGTGTGCAAGGCTAAGGGAGAGGGGGCGTGCTTGGTCGACAAGACTCACAGGAATCAGTGCAGAGCCTGTAGGCTGAGGAAGTGTCTAGAAGCTGGCATGAACAAGGATGGTAAGGATAATTAAATAACATTAACAATTAATTGATTAATAAGACTAATTATCTGTTCATTTATTCTAATAATCGTAGGTATAATTATAATAATGGAGGTGTAGTTGATGGTAGATGATATCAAAGGTGGTGATGCGTGATGGATGATGCGTATAGAAACGAAAGAGTACTCTTATAGGATTATTCAATTTTAAAATCCTATGCATCTGCAATCCTTGAAAGGTCTGGTGGGTCCAGTAATTTGATATTTATTTTTTTTAAATTGTAATCATAAGAAATTAAAACATATGTAGCGTTAAATATTATATTTACTAAATATAAAAATAATAATTAAAATTATTTTAAAACTAGATGCCTCTTGCATTCGCATAGCATATAGGTCGTTACAGAAATGAAAATATAATCTAGAAATAAATTCAATGAATTATAAGGAGGAGAAATTAATTTCCTTTCCCTTTTTCAATTAAAATGGTTTATTCATAATAATAAAACAGAATGTATTCAAATTGCAACGGGCTGTATCTTTCCTAACAATGAACAGATTTGTATTACATTTTGTAGAGAATTCGGAAACCTTTTTAATTATTATGTAACACTTTTTTCGTTATGTGAAGGAGATAATCTTAAAAATTATGGCTCCAAAGGATATGATGAAGAATTAACCAAGACATGACGTACTGACCTTTGAGAAATAATATAAAGATAATACTAATTTTTATTTAACTTAATGAAATATAACTTTATTTTTAATTTGACGAGTACATTACCAAGTACATATTTTTTTTACTATAATAGGATATAAATAAAACAATCCTTTCGATTCTGTCAACATCCTCAACCAATCATCTCTGTTTAAATAATAACATTTCCTAATATTTAAGTTATCATTTAATATTTAAGTATTAATACATTACTTTTCAAAAACTACAACTGATAATTTTTTAGACTAAAATCTGATACTTTATTTTCACAATATTCAATTTATTGTCAATAAATAAATTAAAAATTATATTTATTATTCTTATATATTTAAATTGTTCAGCTGTCCAACACGAAAGAGGTCCGAGAAACTCGACCCTCCGAAGACAAATGTGCCTTCTGATGAAGAATGACGCAGGTAGTTCTTCACAGGACTCGCTATCACCTAAGCCGCCACCTCCACCATATTTTCCACCCCCACCGCCTCCAGTTACCTATCCTCCAGTAAGTGCATATTTATATTTTTGAAGTATAATGTAAGTATATATTATAAATCGTAACATAAATGTTAGGTTATGAATAGAAAAATCCAACCTCACACCATTTTGCCTCTAAAATGTAGTTAAAGAACTAAATAACAAATTATCTTTACCTGTACTTTTGAGATACAAGGCTGTAGGGTTGATTTTGCCAATTATAACCTAGCATCTAATATCTGCCTCCAGGTGAGGTTTTTATTTCGTTTATATGAATACTTAAAATGAATGTCAAATTTAATTGAAGAGAAATTGGTTGGGATGTTTAGTCAAATATAAAAAGTAAAAATGAATACATGATATTTTTTTTTTGTCGACGTTTTGGCCTAAAGTTCAGGCCTTCATCAGGGCTAAGTTAGTACCCATAAAAGTAAATAATAGGCCCATAATAAATATAACAATAAAATAAATTATAATAAAACAATACAAGCTATCACTAAACTTTTTTTATAGATACTCTAGCAATAAAAATAGTTTCATAAATAATATAGCATCTGTGGGCAGATTTTAGCATCACTTCTTCCTACTTTTTCAGCTCTTTTCCCCCAAACATTAAAATTTTTTTAAATATATTTTTTATAATTAAGAATTTTATAAACCGACCAAAACTACTTAATTCTTTTAAAGATACATATTGGTATGAATAAAAGTTGATGAAGTTTTAATACTGTTATTATTTTTATTTCTGTTGGCTGTTCTTAGATCTTTTGCCGACTTACCCATTCCTCTTCACTTATGTCTTGTGCTATTCCTTTCCAGTGTGCTGCTTAAAGCTCGACTTTCGCCTCCCATGTGGTCGCTTGTTAACTATCGAGGCAGTCTTCGTTTTCTAGAGCCTTCCGGATATATTGCTTCGAGATACTTGTTAACTTATTTGCCTTCATATCATAAGTTATAGATTAACTAGTTTCTGTGAGCAGTTATTTATTAGTCCCTTATCAAATATGCGTTAAAACGCTCACCTAAAATGTCTCTGGTTATCGTGTGGGATACTTTCCTTTAAATAAAACCTTTTAATACTTCTTTACAGAATGCTGGTCAGTACCAAAAGTATTTCATATCCTTATTTTGAGATTTATAGGTTTTTTTGGAGATTTAAATACCTTTGAAAGAGAAAAGAAGGTTATGTTCAGACTGGTTATAAATCTCCTAGTATATATACTATATATTGCTTAAAGATTTTTTAATTTATTCCTTAAGAATTTGGTTTAAGGTTTAGTATTAACCTTTTTCCTTGAATTTGTCCTAAGATGCATTAAATATTTCATATATGTTTAAAAATCAAAGCATTCATGTAAACTAAAAATCCTTATTTTTGTTGTCCCTCAATTATTTTTATTTTTATAATTTTTTGTCACACCATTAAAATTCAACTATCCTCCAAAATTTGATGCGGAGAGCGCAGTTTGTCTGTTATTAAATAACAGCCCGGTACTATAATATATTAATAATTAAGTAACAAGCAATATTCACATAGAATATTTAAGAATTTAAGGTATGAATTTAGAGAGAACTAAACTGCCATAATTGATGTTATCCTCCCTTCTACAGTGAACCCTGCCATAGAGGCCGGCTTATCCCTTATACGTCCTGGAGGCAGCAGTATATCCTTCCTTTGTCCACCGGCCAACGGCCTAGCTGTTTGATCTTCACCGACATTTCCTCCCAACAAAACTAGCCACAAAAGATATTCCTAGCTATATGGATTCAGTATAGCATTTATATTCCATAGGTTTCTAAAAATGAAAATAATAAGGAAAATTTGAATAATTTTATAAAGAAAATTGAAGTATTTCATTGTATAACTGTTGTTTTTTTATTTCACTGAAGTTTAATACTTGAATATTCAACTCTAAAAATAAAAATGATATTTCTAAATGAAAAAAAAATTAATTAAATTAATCACATACAGCATTTTCGTCATGTATTTTTTGAATGAATCTTAGGTTATTAATAATACAAGACGAAACTTTAATACTTTCATTTGTAAGAAAAATATCAATATTACAAAATTCATTTATAGCTCCTTCATCGACTAGTATCTTTCTTCATTTATATTGTTTTCTATCAGATGCCATATGCCATCATTAATACTTATTATAATACATAAATTATTCTTAAAATTTTAAAACAATCAGCACTAACAATTTAGTTGTAATGAGTAATTATCAAAATATTATGTATTACAGTCCGTTGTACAGACCCCTTTTTTCATTAAATTATTAACATATGCCTGAAACTTTGTTAATAGCTTCATCTCATCGTAACCTACAACTATTTTATTAACGAAAAATCTCGGAATTGGGGAGTTTTCAATCTGGAGATTTGCAAACTTTTGTCTATTTAATTAGGTACTAAAAACTCGTAAATACCCATTTGCTTTACACTTGCATCGTATGATAATTTGCGTCAGAAAATCGAGAAAAAAAGGTGATCTAAAAAAATATTGGTCCCTTTGCCCTATATAACCTCGTTAATTTATTAAAGGTCAATCCAAAAGGTCCTATATTTTTGTAAATATATATCCCATATTTTTCTTGTTTTTTTGCTCAAACTATCTTATGATTCAAGTAGAAAGCAAAAAAGAATTTACGAGCTTTTGGAGCCTAATTAAATAGCTAAACTTTGCCGATCTCCTGATTGAAAACACCCCAATCTCGAGTATTTTTTTAAAATAAAACAGTTGTAGGTTACGACGAGTTACTAAGTTTCAGACGGATGATAATAATTTGATAAAAAGAGGTTATCATAAGGAATAATACGGACTAATATAGTTAGGTATATTGGAAAAAATATTAATTAAATATGTGGACATTTAATAATTAATTTATTTATATTTTAACAGCTGAGCAAGGTTCTGACAGACCCGCACGAGATCAGAGAGTGGGCAGCCAAATTGCTTTACATGAACGTCCGGTGGGCAAAGAGTGTACCGGCCTTCACGAGCCTGTCAATGAAGGATCAGGTACCCTTAAAATTGATATCATAATGAGATATATTTTAAGTATATTCAAATTGTTTATTTGTAAAACTTATATACTTTATATTATTGTATTTATTTATTTATTATTATTACAGCTTACGCTGCTCGAGGAGAGCTGGGGTGAGCTGTTCATGCTCGGCTGTGCCCTAGTCCTCCCCCCGCTGGACCTCACGGGACTCACCGACGGCAGCCTTATCCAAGAGGCCACCATCTTCCAGGAGACCCTGGCAGTCTTGAGGACTCTACAAATCGACACCAATGAGTTCTACTTCCTGAGGGCTATACTCCTGTTTAAGACTGGTGAGTGATATGAACAAAATTGAATTTTTATTTTTAAAAAATAATAATAGCTTCCAATAACAGTGACTTGGTGGGATAGAATAGCTGGGATATCTCAGAGCTATCTGCGATTTTAACATTGCAAAAAAAAAAAATCTACTTTCACAATGTTTCGTAGTTAGCATAATTACACACTTCAGAAACATACAATATAAGACCCTAGAGCTCTTAACACATTAGATCATCCATTTCAGCTGGCACTATCTTTTCCATCGAACACGCTTCGGAGGGTATAATCGAATATAAATCGAATATTTGCCTAATAGTTGGCCCGAGCATAAATTCTCACAGCATATTGTTAAGTGATCAAATGCCAAATTAATGAGAACATAGAATAATGCAGTGTATCAAAAGATAAAGAAATCAATTGTTGCTTTATCGATAAATATAATCGACAAAGAAAAAGATAAATTAATTTAAAACTTCAATATTTTTTTGGAACCAACATATTTACAAATTTCAATAAGCTGTATCTTGGCTAAAAATTGTCCTCCTAGACCTCTCCAAATGAATATTAATCGAAAAATTATTAATAAAATGAAAACAAAAATATTGGAAAAATTTCTAATCGATTTCGATGATTTTTCTTCCTCCTTTTGTAGGGATTTAGTAATCTTTTATATAATCATGGGTATAACTAAGGGAAAAGTATGTTTTTTTTAGTTATTAGCAAATAAAGTTTCTTTTCTTTCATAACTTGTTTGTCTGAATTTTCGGTGTAATTGGACCGTTTTGCCCGCCTGAAGGAGAAGGAAGCGTTCAAAATTTCAATGTTGAGATTTGGTGAAGTATTAACGATGATATGGCTTGCCGATCAAAAACACCACCGACGAAATGAGACATGTATTCAATGACAGTACTACAATTATCGTAAGGTTGTGTGGATGCGAACCCTATGCCTTGCGTTATCTCGAAAATAGTACGTTTTTGGGCTTAAAAATCAAGGATCCGATAGTATTCGGCTCTTGCTGTACGCATAAAAATCTTCAAAGCCCAATTTGTCCCGTATCGATCTACAGACTTACCACCGTTCCAGTATTGAAGTCTAGCAAAATGTATGTATCGACTTTCTTTATTTTAGAAAGAAAAACAAAAGTGGAGATTACGATTTGCTAACCCCCTGTGAAGTTCTGAATCGAATGATACCCCATTCATGGTATTTGAGCATGACAGAAGCTTATATTTGGTACAAAACCGATTTCGAGCATTACTGTAATAATATATGAGCGATGAAAAAAAAGCTTCTGATTTACATTTAAAAGCAGAAGATACCAGAAGAAAGCTTTAGTTTTCCTTACAACGATTTACACTTGTGTACTAATAAAATCCAAATTCCTATTACAATTCATTAAAAAGATAAATGAAGTTAGTTAAATGTATTAATACCATAACCCTTCATTTTATTTTTTATTATTTTTTTTTTTTTTTGTCTTTTTCACTTCTATCTTTCGTGAGTTATCGTGACCCTGCAGCATCATTGTTGATTCTATATTTCCTTCTAACCACCTGGATTTGGCCGCCTAACGTGCTCTTGCGAAGTACAGAGGCATTCATTGTTGAAAAGAGACTTATGAATTGCTCCTAGCTAAATATTCGGCCAATATTGATATTGATTGACCACTTTATATGATCAATTTTTTTTTTATACTTCATCTTTAGACGTGAGTGCTCAGATTTTGGATAGCTACGTTAAATCTGAGAATTTTTTTCTGAAATCTTTCAATATTTTTTTTTAGGGTGTTGGTTAGTGTCATTTATAAAACTGGTCGTATCGTATTTATAACTGGCTTTGTCTTAGCTTTGTGCATTGCTATTTATAGAGATTATTCTTGTTTTCAATCCTTTTGAAAAAGAAAATAAATTAGGTTTATTATCCATTATCTTTTATATACTACATACATTATTTTAATTTTTTATAAGCTATAAATGTGGACACTATCGTTATTGTTTATTATCATTGAATGAAACGGTTTCAATAAAAAAATATATATACATAAATAAATAAAAAGATAATAAAAACCATCAACAAAGAAAAAATAAATTATTTTAATGTTACGTTGATAGTATTATAATAAATGGCATGATAAAATTATAAATTTATAGTATTTTTAAAATAACTGATGCTACCAGTTTCATGTTTTGCTATTGAAATCGTATGTAGTGTCAAAAAAAAAAATAAATACAATTTCCCCGTGAATATTTTTTGGAACGCATGAATGTGCCCAAGATTTCCAAAGTGGACCTTCCTTGATTAGTAGCAGGGCCCCTCGATGACTTCGCGTACCGAAACAAAAACAGGAATCCTCAAGGTCATTATACCTAAAATAAACAGGATAGTGAACCCTAGTGGCCACCGAAAATGAAACATGGCGTTCGTGCAAGGACGCCTAAAGGTCGATCTACAAGAGATTCGCTTGATTAATGCTACGTGTTCCACACGTGTGTATCCAGCCCGAGATCCTGTTCAATATGGTCTTTTATTTTCTTCTTCAATATGGTCTTTTTATTGAGTCGAGAGTACGGCTATTGTATCTGTGGGTCCGCAACTACGGGCGGGGTCTATCATTATTTTCTATTTTTTATTCGGTTATATAACCACGCACGGAGGCAGAAAAATAAAAGTGCAAATCATAATTATTGCTCAACTTCGTTGCTTTGATTTTTATTATGTTTCTGAACATTCACTTTTGATCTATTTTCTTTATTTTACTTAGTTTCTGTATCTTAAAATATCGGAACAACAATGGAACAGGAACTTTCAACAAGAATAGCTGTGATATATAGGAACCGGCATACATGGCATACATCTCTACCAATTCCTTCTCACGTCCCAAAATGACGTTATACAATAAAATAAATATTGTGAAACAGATTTTGACTGAGGTGAATGGTTGATAAAATTTATTGAGTCTTAATTTTAAAAATCAACCCATGCTTATTTTATTATTTTTTTTTATTTTCATTCAAATAATGTTTTTTTTTTATTTCGTTTTTTCTCAAAATTTTATTTTATTTTTACTTGTTTTAATTCAATTTCACTGAAGATACTGTATGTATTCTTTAATATTGATTAATGTAATTTTTGTCCAGATGTAGTTTTTATTTTTTTGTTTATATCTGTTATTCATAAGGGACCTTGTCCCAAAATAAAGTTTACTTTCTATCTATCTATCTACAATTAGGGTAAAAGTTCGAGAAAAATCTCTTAACTAAAATAGAAAAAAAAAATCCTGTTTATTGCTGTTATAAGTAGTAAAATAAGGGTGCTAAGTTAATTAAAGAGAAATAAACCTTATGTATCAATAAATAACAGTAGGGTATATCTAATTACTATTGGAGTATAAAATCATAACCAACTCCAATTTTACACGAAATTGTTCTAAACAAATTTTAAAGACTAACGCGTTTTTTTAAATACGTGACCCAGTATAACAAAACCAAAATTCGTATTGAATACTTCAAAAGTAAATGGATGAAGAACTCGTTCTTTATCGTTGTGCTAATAATTCAATCTATAAATTTTGTATAAATTATTTAATATAATTTAACTGAAATCCCGATTTACTTATTAATATAAAATTATCTTGCAGCTTTGGTCGGAGAAGGAAAGAACTTGACAGACATCGCATCCATCGCTGCCATCCAAGACTACAGCCAGATCACGCTCAACAAGTACATGACCGCGGCGTACCCCGAGAGACCCTATCGATTCAGCAAGGTTCTTCTGTACCTCCCAACTCTCAGGGCGGTATCGCCTGCTGTCATAGAAGAACTCTTCTTCAGGAAGACCATAGGAGCGACGCCGATCGGGAGTATCTTATGCGGCGTATACCAAACCAATTCCTGGGGTGAAGCCATTCCCGAATGACAGTACTTATTTGTAATATTTGGTCTATTAAACGTGTGTTGAAATTGTTAAACAGGAAAAATATATACATATTAAATTCTTTAAAATGGATTTTTAAAGAATACATTAGTATATTATTATTCTAAGAATTTATCTGGGACGTCACTACAAGGTAGAAGGAAAGGGTGTGTCATGCACTCCAATGATGAGTGAATGTGAAAACTGTGATAAAACATCTTATTTAATGATTAAATACAATTTTATATCGGTATATATTTTAAGATAACAGATAAATTGAGTTTTATTGTAGCATTAATGAATAAATATGATTGTTGCAAAACATCAATAATCGAAAAATGTATATGAAAAATTCCAATCGATGTGTAGAATAAATTAAAATATTTATTTTATCAAATACGTACACCGTAATCTTAAAAATTAAAGTTCTGGGACATTTCGTCGCAACTATTGAAATTGTTAGATGATATTATCTTTTGATCCTCAGTCAAAAAAATTGATTTAGTGACGTCCTAGTAATGAGTTTAAACAATCTCTTTCTCTCTCTCTCTCTCTCTGTGTATATATATATATATATATATATATATATATATATATATATATATATATATATATATATATATATATAATTTAAAGCTCAAATAAATGATAACCTTACTAATATCCGTATATATATATGTATATACGGATATTAGAGTAAGGTTATCATTTATTTGAGCTTTAAATTATATAAACAGAATTCAGATCTATAAAAAGTTAATGTTATTAAACTAGTATTATACTATATTTTATATTATTTTAGTATTTTTCAACAAATCATATAAAAAATTATCTAATTTATGTTACTATACTAATATATTTACATTTTAGAATTCACAATCATATTAATTACACTAAAAATTACTAAAAGTCGTATGTTTTAAGTCTGATTTAGAAAAATAATTATAAAATGGTTTTATGTTCCTGAAATTGGGAGGCTATAATTTTGTATCAAATTGAGATAACTTGTCTTTCTCATATAAAAAAAAAATCATCCTATTAAAAAGTTATATAAAAAATTATTATATTTTAATGTATATTCTTGTATAAATATGTACATATCTATGTAAATATTTTTATATAGATTAAAAGAATATATATGTATTAAAAAAACTGAATTAATAAAGTATCTTTTTTAATTGTATATAAATCGTGTGTTGTGCCTTAATGTAAAATATTTTTATTTGTATATAATAGTCACTTTGTGCAATATCACTTTATATTTTTTCAAACCATGCGTGTAATTAAAGTATGGAGATATTTCAGTTATATTTATATGTAATTTTATTATTATTAAGATTCATTAGCATTGCATTACCAAAGAAAACTATTATTTTATTAAACTAAACTATGTTCATAAGAAAATCATTGACATATTAGTCCGTAGTACAGACCTCTTTTTATCAAATTATTAACATCCGCCTGAAACTTCGTAAATAGCTTCATCACGTAGTGAACTATAAATATTTGACGTACAAAAATTCTCGGTATTGGGGCGTTTTCAATCTGGTGATCGTCAAACATTATTTATAAAATTAGGTAATAAAAACTTGTGAATACTTTTTTTTTTCACTTGAATCGTAAGATAATTTGAGTACAAAAGACGACCTTCAAAAATATTGAGCCGTTTGACTTGACCTACACCCCCAAAATGTCAAAATAACGACGTTGTATAGGTTAAACGGCTCAATATTTTTGTGGGCCCTTTTTTTCTCTATTTTATGATCAAAGTATCTTACAATCCAAGTGTAAAACAAATAGGTATTTGCGTGTTTTTAGTACCTAATTAAATAGACAAAGTTTGCCGATGTTTAGTTTGGAAACGCACCAAACGTTTTCATAAATAAAACAATTGTAGGTTACGATGAGATGAATCTATCCACGAAATTTCAGGCGGTTGTTAATAATTTGATGAAAAGAGATTTGTACCACGGACTATATGCTCAACAAAATTTAGTTGTTAAGGATAAATGATTTTTGTAGTATAGCAAACACGTTGTTTTAATTGTAATTTTACTGTGTCTACTTTAGTATTTGTTCATGTTTCAATTAATATAAACAATTATTTAAATTAAAATCATTCTTTTATACTTCAGCCGGAACCATGTGTCAGCGAAGCAGTCCGCCATTTCTCTTGGACGCTCGCTGACGTAGGATTCCTACCTGACATCCTAAAACGCTCATCCTTCCATTTCTCCCAGGTCTTTTCAAGGGGACATATTTTGTCACCATTCTCGCGTCCTCCATTCTCAGCAAATAAACAGACTCACTTTTCTTAATTTATCGGTAAGTTTTTTTTTTAGCATCATGATCCCAATAATCACCGAATGATTTTTATTTTAAACGTTGTTTTAATATCCAGGTGTGACTTAGGGTCAGTTGTACAATTGGAGTTCAAATCAAGTTCAAGCTTGAACTCCAATCGTACAACTGACCCTTGTGTAGCTATACACTGATCCGGTTATAAGATGTAGCTAAAATGAACACTCTATTCACAATCTTCGCCACCATTTCGAATAAATAAAATTATTTATTTTATTGATGACATGCGTAAGAAAAAAATACTGTTCTTGACGTTATCCACTGCATTGTAATAATTTAGCATGATCGGTACTTAGTTAATGGATGTACTAAATCGGAGGCAGAAATTTATAATTCTTCATGACGTTGTGTTTTTTTCATCTAATTAGTTTTTTATAGTATCATTTTTAATTTTTAACAGTACTGATCAGAATTCATTTCACACTAAAAGTGTAGATAATACTTAAACTTTTCCAAGAGACCCTAAATCCTAAAAAATCTAATATATATAAAGGGTGTGACGAGAAAGAGAGCCAAAATCCAAGAGAAGATTGTTTACAGTGAAATAATAAAAATTACAAAATCGCATATTTTCTAATTCAACTTTCATTTGTTTAGATTTGATTGGCTAGTTAAAAATGTAAACAATATTTCATGTATGTATTAGCATTAAAATTTTGTTTACAAGAGATTCAAAACAAATTATCAAATCAGATTAGAAAAGATGACAATCGCTAATCATCATAGTGATTTTATTCTTATTTTCGTTTGTATCATTTGTCTAGAAAATACCAAATATCTTACATAGAGAATATGCAAATATGTCGTATCTTTATGTTTTTTGCGAATTGAAAATAAACCCCATATGCCAGGAAGGACGAGTGGAAGAAAAAATCCTGAGGAGCAGCTGTAGCGTCCCATTGCAAAAACTGTGGGATGCAGTTGGTTGTATTAAAATATTTCTTTATAAAAAAAATACATCATATTTTGTTTAATTGTGAATTTTTTTTCAACAATTAAAATTGTTGTGTATCTTGTGAATGTAGTTTAATAACAAACATTGTGACATTTCTTAATTAATAATTAATATTTTTTTTTCAAACATTCAATTTCTTCGTGTAATGTAGTGTTTGTTAAACTTATATACCCGATATAAAAAATATGATAATTTTCAATTAACATACTGTCATTATTTGTTTATTTATTTATGTATTCCACCCTCCCATGCCACAATGGCAATACGGATGTTTGCGATAGTGTGTTATAGGCATGAATACTTAATAATACACTACTACTAGTTAACATGATGTGCAGTTCTTCTGTTCTTTCTTCTTCTTGTTTCGGCCTAGCTTCCAGAATCTGGAGGTCTTCCTGGCGCTTGTCCTCTTCTTCTGCGGGCACCAATATGGAAGTGAGCGGGCCCCACCGCCGTATTCCATCCATATATGAAATCCTTGAACCTCGGGAAATTTTCCTAGCTGATTAACTGAGGAAACTCATTTTCATTGAGGACAGATTCTCGCGGCTCTTGTCATTGTCGCTCTTAACGTTTCAAATGCGGTGCAGGTCGTGACCACGTGCTCTACAGTTTCCGGAACACTACAGATTGGGCATAGAGGATCTACATCAATGCCCAGACAGTGAAGTTTAGCTCGAAATCCTCCATGCCCAGCGAGGAACTGGGAAATCCAGTAGTCCGGGAGGACCCACTTTGCCTGTAGCCTCGACTTTACTGTATGTTTATTTATTAACATAGTGTCACAGACATAATAAATAAAAATGGAATTAGAAAAGTATTAGCACTGGCGGATTTGCGAGAGATGTGCTTTTGGATTGAAGCCCGTCCCCCTCTCTCCAAAATGGAAAAAAAAAATTCGAACACCATATTTGTTACTGTGAGTGATCTAAGCTAAAAACTTAAACAATCATAATATTTTATATTTTAAATCATAATGCATATACTGCTGCTAAATATAACAATGTTTTATGAAAAAAATACTACTAAAAGTAATAATCATTGTTCGTGTAATAAAAATTTGGATAAATTTAAATTATACTTTTTTAATTGTTAACACTAAAAAAACTTTTTTCTACAGATATTTAATTAAGCATCTTTCCTTAGAAATAAGTACCTAAATTTATATCCTTATTCACCGTTCTATATTCCAACACTGCAATCACCACCCCCGGAATCAACTTACTCACTATCTGCATGGATAACTTTTTCAACTAAAAATATCACTAAAATGACATTACTCAAAAATGTTGAAATTGGTGTTAGTCATTTTGTGGTTTATAAAAGCAAAGCAAGTTGTGTGGTTGATAAAAGCAGATGGAGTGACTAAATTTTTATTGCCTACCGTCGATATAACAAATAGACATTTTGTAATTAAAATGACTTGTTATCTGTAAGCTTTAAGCTTTATCTCCGTTAAAATGCACTTCAAAAAATTTTATAATAGCCCAGCATTGCCAGAAAGTAATTTCTATTCAAAGTAGAGCGGTAAGTGAAAGTTGTGTGTTGCGAGCACCAGATTTTTTAATAAGACATCAATAATCACTTAACCGCCATTTTACATAGGTAATTAGTTCTTTCTTTTTCTTTTCAAGTAATTAGCGTTAAATGCATAAAGAAAATGTTTTCTGGCTGTAACCCTCCCAAA